ATATCACATTACAGATTTTTTTTAAAAAAAAAACTTTCAAAAAAAAGCCTCAAAGCAAAGCATCAACCACCTCTCTCTCTCTCTCTCTCTCTCTCTCTCTCTCTCTCTCTCTTCGATAATAATGAGAAAGTAAAAAACGATGACGATTGCATCATAAACAACCGTTGAGATTCAATTTAATTTTGAACTTTTTTTTTCATAAAAAAAAGAAGAAAAAAGTACCAAAAATTCAATAGTCGAAAATCAAAGATCAAATGATGTGTTTTAGCTTGGAATGAATCAGACACGAATCAAAAATCGGAAACAGAAACGTTCCAATACAATGGAAACCTATTAGTTGGAAAAAATTTCTTCCAACTAACTAACTAAATTTTTTTTAACTGCCAACCCAGCCAGTAAAAAGCAAAATTAGTTTAGAAAAAAAAGTTAGTTTACAAAACTTTTTTTTACAATTTTCAGGTTATTATTTCTTTCTTTTACATTCGATTCATTTTCCGGAATCGAGAGAAAATTCTTCATTGTTCATCGTCATCATCATTTTTTTCCATTGTTGCGTGGGATTAAAAATCCATTTCATCATTTTCATTCATCATCAAGTTTTTGCCATCAGAATCGATTGATTGAGAAAATGAAAAATGAAAAATTTCAACAAAAAAAAAATCTGGCTAATTAAGGATTTTTCAAAGGAAATTTTCATTGACATTGCTGCTAGTGTCGGAAACACTTTTCAAAATAATTTATGTAAAAAATTCCAATCAATATTCTAATTTGATTACAAAATAATCATGATATAAATAAACCAGGTATCGACCAAGCGATCTAGACAGGAAAGTAGGCAGCAGCAACAAAAAAAAATCAATCAACCAAATATCGATCTGAATGGGGGAAGTAAAAAAGTTCAAATTCAAAATGATGATACGCAACCAAGAGAGAGAGAGAGAGAGAATATTGAATAAAATGTCATTTTTTTTATATACAAAAAAATTTACATTTGACAAAAATCATTTATTCCCTTGACTCTATTTTCCACCCCTGAATGAATGAATGATGTATATTTTGAGAAAGTTGAAAATTGTTTGTTTGTTTGTTTGTTGGCCATTTTTGTTGTTGTTGTTTTTGTTTCACCCACTATGTAATATGATATATATATGTTGGACAAGTAAGATCAAAGTAATGAAAATAATTTCTTTCTTTTCATTTCATTTCATTCAGTCAGTCAGGCTAAGATCAGTACAGAATATGAATAATCAAACATTTTCCTTCTTTTAGTATCATAAATCATTGTCGATATCCATACAAAAAAAAAATGCCAATGATATGATATGCATAAATAGAAAAATTCATTCAACAAATAATGCTGCTGCTGCTGCTGCTGTGTAACAATCCAAGGAAAAAATTTTCTTTTTCACATTTTTTTTTTCGTTCCAAGTTTTCCATACAGTCAAGTCAGTTAGTTTTTTTTCTCATATCAATAATATGATCCAAACACACTGTTTGTTTGTAAATTTGTGAATCGTATTGTCGAACCACATACACACACACATTTCATTTCATTTCATTTCATTTCATTTCATTCTATTTATTTATAGTTTTTCTTTTCTTTTCTTATTATTCTTGTTGTTGTTGTTGTTGTTTCGTTATTTCTATCATTATATTTGGTTAGTATAGTTACTTTTAGTTTTTTTCTTCTTCTTCTTTTTACACATTTGAATGAAAAAAGAAAGTAAAACGACAACGATACAGAGAGATGCATAGAGAAAGAATGTTGAAGAAATAACAGATATGATGATGCCATCATCATCATCATCATTGATAATGATAATGGAATTAGTAAGACAGACATTGGAAACATTGGACATCAATGGGTCTTGTTTTTCTTTTCCCTTTCTATTATTTGGTTTAGTTTGATATCTATCCAAGATCTATCCATATGATAGAAAGAAAAAACATTTATGTCTTATCATCATCACTATTTGATCAAAATGATGATGATAAAAAAGGAAGAATTAAGATGATGATGATGGAAAATAAAATGCCAAAATGAAATGGTTACATTCCAGAAACAGCAGCAGAAGCAATAATATTCTGGTTCTATGACTACCATCATGATGAATATTTTGAATAGGGGAAGAAAAAATATGTTTCCATTCAAGCACCGTTATTGTTTTATTTATTTATTCGTTGAACTGATTTGTTTTTTGTTTTGTTTTCTTCTTTCAACAACCATAATAAAAAAAAAGTATGTGCTTTTTTGGTTGTTTATTTGCTGTTTCACAAATATTCACGAATCATATTTGTCTGATGAACCATGCTTGTTGTTGTTGTTTTGCCTATTTAAAATATTATAGAGGTTATTCATTAGCATGAAAAAAAAGAGAGATAATTTTTGTCGATTAAACATACCAATCATGTAGGAATTTAATGTTAAATAACACAAAAATGATGATCATTATCATGCAACATTCAATGTGTGTGTGTAATGAAATGCAAATGCAAATAATGATGATGAAAATGGTTTAATTAATTAATAGTGGTGCACTTTCATTCGATCATTGGCCTGTTTTTATTTTTTGACCCATTGATAATATTTATCCGGAAAAAAAACTTGTAATGACTACACCTACCTAAATACCTACGGAAATAACTTCACGAAACAAGATATTCAAACAACTGTTTTTTTTTGGTAAAAATTTCACATTATAATTATTTATCACACACACACATAACAACAATAAATAACCAACCAAAAGAAAAATGTTGAAAAGAAGAAAAAAAGCATATCGAAAACCAAAAAAATACAGATATAGATAATAGATAAGTAACGGAAACTATGAACATTATGTGATATATATAAGAAATGGAAGAAAAATAAATGTAACAAACATAGAACACATTGAGAAAAAAAAACAGAATGAAACATGGTGCATATCTATAGCATATCCGATAACAACAACAACATGATTCAAGAATTCAAATCACATCTTCTTTTTCCAAAAGAAAAAAAAATGACAAATGAACTCAAAAAAAAGAAACTACATCATCATTGCAACACTTTACATGACCATCTTCATAGTTGTTCATAGAAACACACAGAATATCGCGATTATCATCACCATCATCAAAATCAACATCGTTAAAGAATCGAATGATTTACTGTGCTCGTAAACCAGCAACAACAAAAAAATAACCATCATCTAACAACAACAACAAAAAAAGCTATTTCGATCCAGGTCGAATGAATGAGTGAGTGAATGAGTGGATGTAGTATTTCCTGAACAAAACAAAAAAAATAAACATCAAATTTTTCAATTTTCAAAGTATTATTTTTCCCATTCATTACAAGTTTTTTATTTATTTATTTCTGGATTGAAAAAAAACACTTTTAATCTTTGTTCTTTCGTTTATTATTATTATTATTTCATTTCAAACCCATCAATTTCTTATCGCAAATGAATTGTCAATTTATAGGTTGAAAGAAAGAAATAATAAAATGACCATTTTGGTCAAACTGACTCAAAATTACTTTATTTTATTAAGAAGATTATCAAATGAAAATACCATTTTGCTCATTGCTCTCTCTTTATTTTGACAATAAAAAATGACGGATAATATCGTCGAAATGGTTATAAACAACTCAAAGATTACGACGAGAGAATCATTCGATTTAATTTGGGACGACTATTTTTTGTTGCTCAAAAATGACTTTGGTCGATAAAAAAAATCATCCTTACATCATTGGAAGAAAACAAAACAAAACGAAAATCTCAACATAAACCACAACGAAAACGAAATTGGATAATAAAAAAACAAACAAACTTCTTCTTAATTATCGTAAACGTGATCGTTGATGAAGAAAAAAAATATCAATAAAAAATCCATATAGACAAAACATTTTGTTTTGTTTTTGTTTCTTGTTTCAATTATCATCATAACCGAAAAAAAACAACAACAACAACCATCAACAACAAGAATATTCTGTTGTTTTTGTTGATTGATGAATTTTTTTCGCCATTCTGTTTAACAAACAAACAAAACGATGACGATAAAATTCACTGAATACCCAGACATACCAAGACAATGAAAAGAAGAAAAAATTTGTGTTCCAGAAACCAGGAATGAATATTAAAAAAAAATTCACTATATCAAGAAATTCTTGAATAAAACAGAATTTGTAACAAAATTTTTTTTTCTGTATGCGTCAACAAAAAACTGAATGTATTTTGAATAGTCAAAAAAACCAATGAACCAAGAAAGAGAAAAAAATCGAAAATCAAAATGCAACAAACATTATTCAATGTTTTTCTTCATTCACACACTGGTTGTTTGGTTAAAGATAAAGATTATCATCAAAACAGCAAATTGGTAAGTAAAATTCTCGGTTTTTTTCGTTTTTTTTACTTACTCAGCATTTTAATAACAGCTCTACGTTGTGCTAATGAATTACTACTGGATGTTGATGAATTTGATATTGTACTTGATGATTTAAATTTTGACATTTTCATTTTTTGTCTTTGAAATGATTTATTATTATTATTGGCCGCCGGTTCAACAATCATTAACGGTGATGATGGTATTGAAAATGATTCTTGCTGTTGAATAATATGATTACCGGTACCAGTGAAACATTTCATAACATCTGAACTTTTTGTTGCTGTTGTTGTTTCAACATTGATATCATCATTCTTATTCAAACGATTATTTATTGAACCTGATGATGATGATGATATTGTTATTTCATTTAAATCTTTGATCAATGTTCGTGATCTTTGTTGTTTACCCTGTTGTTGTTGTTGTTGTTGTTGTTGATCATTTTCATCAATTGAAATATTATCTGATGTTATTGTTGATGTTGTTGTTGTTGTTGTTGAATTATGAGCTGCTGCTGATGATGATGCTAAATGTATAAAACGTTTACTTAATGTAACAGCACGAAAACGACGTTTTATACGACGACGACGTAATGAATTTCTTGACAAATCAGGATTTGTATTTTTTGAACTTTGTCTTAATTTTATACCGATTAATATATATAAAACAGTAATCCATGTAACAGGTAATACAAAAACAATTAATGATGATAAGGCAAAAATATGTTCCTCTAAATATGGAATCGATCTTTTTATATTACATGCAGCTGATTGTTTTATTGGTATTTGATCATTTAAATAATCAAAAACAATACCAAATTGATAGGCAATTGGTGCAGCACATAAAAAACCTAATAACCAAATAATAATAATTAATTTAATTGCACGTGATAATTTTGACATTGTATGTGCACGTAATGGATGACAAATAGCAATATAACGTTCCATTGTAAATGCTGTTATTGTTAATACAGATGAATTGGTTGATGCTTCAGATGAAAAACCTCTTAATATACAAAATGCTTCACCAAATATATATGGATAACGATACCAAATTTGATAAATTTCTTGTGGTAAACCTAATACTAATAGTAAAAGATCTGAAATTGCTAATGAAAATAGATAATAATTTGTTGCTGTATGCATATAACGATTTCTTGCAATTACAACACAAGTTAGAACATTACCAATTACACCGGTTACTAATATTAATATATAAAGAATTGTCATTGGTATTGTTGTCCAAAGTGGATCTGTAATTAGATTTGGATCCCAAACCGTTGATTGATCGGTTATCGATGATAATGATGATGATGATGGACTAGTAGTGGTAGTAGTAGTAGTACTGGCCATCGATGATAATAAAATAACATTTTCATTATTATTATCCGTATTAATCAACAATTGTTTAATAACAGTGGAATATGTTAAAGTTGATGGAAATATTGTCTGTTCAGTCGATATGATCGATATATTTCGATCATCATCATAATCATCATTTGGATGATCGATTGAACGACGACGACGATGATGATGATCTATTATGGGTAAATAATAATGATGATAATTTTCATTTGATTGATATGAATTCAATCGATCGATAATCAATTGAAAAACAGTATTGTTATTGTTGTTGTTATTCACAAATCTATCATTTGTTGATAAAAAATTTTGATTCATTTCTTGTTTTTGGCTGAAATAAATAATGGTAAAATAAAAAACTAAAAACTTAGGTTGAAACACTAGCCAGGCAATCGTCGTATGATTATGGCAATTGAAAATTCCATTACACACAAACACATAAACTATTAGTTTCAAACAAAATTACCGGTAGTTATTGGAAGTGATTTGAAAATCGATATTCGAAATCGAAAAGAACAAGAACAGTTTTTTTAAGGATCGAATTACATTGTACGGTTGTTGGAGGAAAAATGTCTAAAGATAATATCCAAATGCATTGTATTTATATTGGTCGAGGCGCCAAATCTTATATATCTCATAACTGAGACGTATCGTCCAAACAAATACGACGAGGCAGAGCAGGCGCATCAATTTCACATTTTGAACGGTGTGTAATTAACTTTTGAAAATGATTCTATTTTAGGCCCAGAATGAATCAAAATTTTTTTGATGTCAACTTGAATTTGATAACCCAGAGAAAAAGGGCAAAATTTTCATAACCAGGGATTATGATTCATTCAAATGAATTGAATGGCTTCGTCGATTCAATCAAATTGAAAGGATTCCATTCCAATGCAATACTCTTTTAGCTTCAATTTAAATTTAAATGATTTGCAGACATTCATTAACTTTTTTCTTTTTTAAAAAAAAACTCATATCATTTTCAATTTGCTAAATGAATCTGCTGCTAAACAGCATCAGTAGAAGAAAAGAAAGATTTTTTACATTCTTATAATGAAAAACAAAAAAGCGAAACAAAAGGATCCTGGAAAAATATCTTCCAGGGTTAATTCTAAACATTAATTACCAATGCCAGATATGATAAAACAGAAGAATGAAAAGTAAGTGAATGAATGAAAAATTTTGCCTTCTAGGTGATTTTGAATAAAAGAAATGACCAAATGTATTTCTTCTTCATCTTTTTTATATTGATCGAAACAATCATTAATAAGTTTTGGCAACCAGAAAAAAAATCATGAACCTTTTTTTTCAATTAATAAATCGTAACAACGAACTAACGAACGACGACGACGATAATGATGATGACAAAAATTTTTTTTTCTTTTTACCGATAGATTCGGGCAACATCGAGGTGAAAATCGAAAAGAAAAGAATGGAAAGGAAAAAAGTTCCTTGGCTATTGTATTCGCTCTGGTGCTAATTGAAATTGAAATCATTTGGATTTTTCACTGCACTGATAGAGAATTGGAGCAATGTTATTGTGAAAAAAAAGAGTAAAAAAAAGACAAAATCAGGGCCAACCTTCTAGGATAATTAATACTTAATCTATTCAAGTAAGAAACTAAACTGAAACTAAATATATCGACAAAAAAACATCCATTTCGATGAACAACAACAACAAGATTGGAGAATTAGGAATCAATTTTCCAGTGTGTATTTTTTAACGATTAGTTTGCGTGTTGTTGTAAACAACAACAACAAGCAAAAATAACGACGACAACAACAACAACAATTAATGTCATCAAATTGGTTGTTCATTTTTGTAGAACCAAAAATAACTAATAATTTGCAGGCAAATGATAGAGTCTTTTTTTTCCGAATGCCATTGAGACATTGAGATTTAGAAAAACAAACAACCATAACAACTGAAAACGATTCGGTAAACTACCATACGATATCCGTATAGCCGAAAAAAAACATTGTGACCATAATTTGCAATTTGTTGTTGTTGTTGTTGTTGTTGAGATTCCACAATGGGAACAGAGATTTTTTTTTATCCAATTCCTTAATAGATTATTATTATAACAATGGTTGGTTTAAACTACATACACTATAGTGACATATGCTTTGTTTTTTTTTGCTGTTGTTGTTGTTGGAATTTTTCAAGTTGTTGTTGTAATTCAAAACAACAACAACAACAACTTAATGAGATATGAATCTTTTGCCTTTATAATCATTCAATTACCAAAAATTGTTCAATCAAATCACAAAACAGAAGCAAAATGAAGATGGTGAGAACAACGTGCAAAATGTAACGAAAAACAAGAAGAAGAAAAAAAATGATTATCGTTCGAACAACGATTACCGTTTATATGGAAGAATATTCTTTCTCTCGCTTTCACGCATACACACAATATGTTTTGAATATATTTTCTGAATATGATAATGATAACCAATCACCAGAAAAAAATTTTTGGATAAAATTCCAAATAAACGATTATCCTGATAATGATCATAAAGGAAAACACCAGAAGAAAGAAAGAAAAAAAAGTTTTTTCCATCCCAAAAAAAAACTTTCTTCATCGATAAATGAGGGAAAAAAACAATAATAAAAAAAATTTATCCAAACGAAGAAGAAGAAGAAGAATCCAAAGATGATGATCATTTTCGATCAATCAACCATTTTTATATCGATCATCACTAAGGAATCATGCGTATTTCATTGAAAAAAAAACCTATGAATATTACGATGATGGTGATTTTTTTTTTCTTCAACACAAACAGAACAAAACGAACAACAAACATTCCATCATCATCATGAATGAATGAAGACATTATTGAAATGATGATGATGATGATGAATGTCTTGTACTTATCATATACAAAGAAGAAAAACTGTAAAAGAAAAATTTATTAAAATAATTTTTCTTTTCTTCTTTTCAAAAATATCAAAGATCATTTGGATGGATGGATGGATAAAAAGGAGAATTTTTCATTCCCAAACACAGCAGAAATGATGAGAGAATAATGTCAGCCAGAAAGAATATTCAATTTGATCGATGTGTGATAAGTGTGTGTGACTAGTTTTCTATCCATCTCTCTCTCTCTCATCTCTCTCGGTTTATCTTGCTTTAGCACCAAAAAAAAAATGATAATGACATGTCATCATTATCCATATCAGATTTCATTGAATGTAAGTGAGAATGAGAAATGGAAGAAAACTTTCTTGAGAATTTGCAAAAACAACAACAAAAAAAATTAGTTCGTTTCCAATAATAATTATTATGATTATAACCAGAAACAGCAATAATAACAAAAAAAAAATTTGGTTCGAAATGATAATTATGCATCGTGCATTCTTCGAGAAGAGAAGCTGTGTGAGAAAATTTCGGTTTTTCGGTTTTTTGTTGCCCGAGATGGTAATAAAATACCATAACCACCACCACCACCACCAAAGAAATCTAATATCGATCGGAAGTTGGTAATGATCGACCTCGTCATCATCATCGTTTTTTTTGGTGTGCTAATTTGACATTCAATTTTATATCGGTGGTAAAAGAAAAACAAGAATACATTTCCATCACTAATGATTGTTGATCAATATTATCAATCTTGTATTTCATTGTTTAATTAATTAAGAAATACAGAAATACAAAGAAAGCGAAAACAAAATGGAAAAAACTTTCTTTTTGTTGGTAAGATTTTTGGTATTTTCATTAAACAACCAAAGAAAAAAAAATAACCATCGAATCGATTAATGTGTTAAAATTTCCTTATATATCGATTGATGATATGATAATAATAATCGATCTGATGGACGAAAAAAAATAAAAAACTAAATCATTCGATGAAGATAATGGACTGGTCGTGATTTCAAATCATCATTCTTTCTTCATTGATTGTAAACCAGAAAAAAGCAAAGGAAAAAAAAATACAATTTTTCTCCATAATAATGGCAGTGAAGCCAACATTTTTTACTTTCAACAATGAACATTCAGAATTGAATTTGCGAATTTTTTTTCAAGTTTTTAAAGAATGGTACAACCAAATAGATTTAAAAACATTATTTTTCATTCACTGAATGTATTTATAATTTTTTAAAAAAATAATAATACTAGTGACTAAAAAAAAAGATGATTCGAAAATCAAAATCTACAAAAATTGACAATAATAGTCGAACAATGTTGATGAAACAACAACAAAATCCAAGCACAACATCCATCTATCATGATTATTATTCATCATCATCATCATCCTTATCATCTTTATCATTGTCTACTTCAAAAAATGAAACTTTTCTTGCAAATCTAAAGATAATGTCAACATTATTGCATGGATTTTTATTGTCGATATTTGGTGCAACATATTTATTTACAATTTGGTTTAGTTGGAATAAAAATCGTTCAATCATATGGGATTATCTTTATTTAACACATTGGAATCTAACATTTCAGGTATTTTTCTTAATTATCGAATTATTAAGTGATTTTTCATCAACATTTGATGAAATGACCATTATATTTCGTAGTAAATTTCTTCATTCAATTTTGATACCATTTTCACTTGTAAGTTGAAATTTTTTTTTCAAATGATAATTTAATAATCACATTTATTAATCAATTTTTTTTATTTTGGTTAAAAACAGTGTGTTTCAATTGTTTTTTGGGTAATATGCATATTTTACAATGAAAATGTTTTACGTGGTCCACCGGCAGAACGATGGCCTGAATGGCATAATCATATATCGGTAATGTTTTTTTTAATTTGTTTGTTTATTTATTATGACATTATTATTGAGTATTTTTTTTTCTTTTTTTATTATAAACAGCATACGATAATTTTACCAGCCATTGTAATTGAATGTATTATCAATGATCATCGATTACCCATTGGATATCATTCATTAATGATTACAATTGTAATGGGTGCAACATATATTCTTTGGGTAACATTTTTTGGTGTTGTTTTTGGAAAATATTCATATGAATTAATAGAAACGGCATCGGCAACAAAAACGATTTTTTTCTTTTTATTATTAATGATTTTCTTAATCATTGCTAATCATATTGGCCGATGGATGCATATTATATATTGGCGAAAACGACGAACAACTTTAATGCAAAAAAATAAATAAAAATAAATAAATATCCACACACATATTGCGCCCATATTGCTGTGTAAATATTAATTTGTATTTTGTTTCTGTAGATTTTGTTGTTGTGATTGTAGTTCATGTTGTATGATCAATTCATTGGTAATAAATGCATGTTGTCGTTTACGTAAACGTAATGATCCTGGTTCATCAGGAATTATCACTTTTAAAAATGAATTTATAGCCGTAACAACATTTTGAAATACGACAACAAAAACAATTTTTGCGATCAATATATGCCAATGTTGTTCACTATAGGTACCATTCTTTTCTCTATAACCATAATAGCTATATATTTTTTTGGTTGAAATGGGAAAAAAAATGAAAAATGTGTAAAAAGCAAAAAATTACTGTAACCAGAAAAAAACAACAACAACAACAAAAAAAACTTACAAACAATTTTCAATGTTATTATCGCGAACTTCATCATCAACATTGATAACATAATTCGATAATGTTGATTCATAAAAATTCTTTAGATTTCCATTGGTAAAATAGTACATCATACGTGGTATAATATCCGTATTGAATGCAATGATAACAGCATTAGTAAATACAGATAATTTGCCCAATGCATCCAGAATTGTATACCAGACACCAATATCTTTTACCCTACAACATAACATAACATAACAACAACAAAAAAAATATAAAATGTAATAATGAATGGATCGTATGACAACAAAAGAATATCACAGAAAAAAAAGAGCGAGAAAAAAAGTCAATTTAAGAAAGGAAAGCGTAGAGAAAGAAAAAAAAATTAATGTGATAATGGGCTTTTTTTTTGGTTGTTGGTTGCCCGAACAAATGATTCGGCAAATGATGACAATGTTTGTACAACTATAATAGTGTCTATTAATGTTAACACATACCTTTGAGCAACTGGACGTTTATAATTTTTTAACATTTTACGGGCATCAAAACGAATTTCAAAAATGTTATTTAAAAGTGCAAAAAATGGTGCCAAAGGAAATGCACTGACAAACAATGTAATAAAACCAAATTGTAATACCAATTCAAGATATTCATAAAATAACACTGAATGATCCCATGATTCAAGTAGATAGTCTTGTTCATATTGTTTTAATTCACGATTACTAACACGATTATTTGATGTTGATGATGATGATGATGATTTTTTATCATTCGAAAAATAAACATAACGATTATAAACCCCGTATAGATAAGGTATTAGATATTCAAGAATAGAACTGAATAGATTTTTTCCCAATAAAATTATGACCAATTGTATGGTTAGATCAAAATAACAACCACCAATAGGACATGGTTCAATTAATTTGTTTAGTTTTCCTGTTTGTAGTGCACCATCCGGTGGTGTTTTTGCTAATGTTCCTTTGAAAAATGCAATATAGAATAATGATGAATAATAGTTGACAAATTCAAACAGATACATTTTCAATGTTAATGAATTATCAAATTCATTTTGTGTACGTGGTAATTCCATTTCGGTTAACCATTTTGCAAGACGTTTATAAACAATGCTTAATATCATGATTAGGATTAAATTTATTGTTGCAGCAGTTGATGTTACAATCCATTCGATATTTTGTCGTAAAAATTCTGATTCATATTGATGTTGAGTACTTAATGCAATATAGGTTGAAACACGATAAACAATAATCGATACCATAATCAACAATACAACAGCAACACTTAACATTACAAATGAAAATGACATTATAAAATATGGTAAACGTCCACGGACGAACGATATATATGGTTCTTCAACACGTGTAACCGGATTTATACGAGTTTTTGTTGATTTTTGTCTGGATAGATAGGCCTGCATAGACAGAAAACAAAACAGATGAAATTAATGAGAATGATCTTGAACAAAACTTACTAGATATTCTGGTCTTGGTGGTTCATCGATCGTACTGAAATCGGACAAATCCCATTGAAAACAAATTTTGGCCGAATAACGTTTCCACATTTCCAGATATATGGTTGCCCATATCGATATAAATATGGCAAATATGACTGTAGTAAAATTACCCATCAAATATGATGCTTTTGCTGGCATACAACTTTCGGATAAATTAACAAAATCACAGTTTTTAGCGCATATCGGACACATTAGGAATGTGTCATTAGTTGAACAAACATCATTGGTAGGTTGATCGTTGGCCAATGTTAATACACCATATAAAAATGTAAGAAAACCCATTGCAACGGCCGGTATCAACATTAAAGTATAGAAACCAACCCAAACATAATACATGGCAATTTTTACACCAAAATAATCGACAATTTTATCCACTTGTTGATATTTTAGAATGCAGAATAATGATGCCCAATTTTTTAATAAATAACATCGGATAGCCGTACAATCGTCCGGATTTTCACCTACATAATTTCATGGTTAATTTAAGAAATAACAAAACAGAAAACAAACGCAAACATACAATTTTTACTGGCATCATGTAATGGATAGGCAGCCAGATAAACATTATCGGCAAGTAATTTATGGATACCGATTGAAAAGAAATCATTACTATCTTTAAACCGGGTTCGTTTCAGTATATAATCAATAATTTCACCACGTTGTGATGGTGTAAAAAATTCATCTTTATCATGTTCAGGTATATTGAATAGATATTCTTTTTCTTTTGAAAAAACTGTTGTAAATGTTTGACCGGTTTGAACAAATTCTTCACCAAATAAATATCTTAAACTTGTTTTGATTGTTTTCATTGGCATTCTCATGGCCATTACTTCAGCATATCTTGCCAATACATCATACGGACCATAAATATGAACATAATTTACATTGTTTCCTACTGAACTTGGAACATGTTTCAACACTAATCCTTCATTCATTAGATTTGCCTATGATTATGGATTGGATTCGAATAAAAATTTTTAGAAATTTTTGATCAAAAAAATAAAATGATTGATCAAACCTCAAATTTTCGTCGTATCATTTCATGATTTAATGGATTTTCTGCATCATCATTATCATTAATAGATTTTTGATAAACAAGAACAAAATCTACACGTTTTAATTCGGCTGTTTCCGTACAATATGGTGATTCATCCATGGATAAATTTGTGGACAACGTCGAAAGTGCAATTGCATCTTCATAGATTCTTGTACGTTGATCAAAATTACGAACAATTTGATCGAGATCAATTTCAATTCCATTCGGTTGTTGTTGTTGTTGATTATTGGCATTGCCATTATCATCAGATGTCCGATTTAAACTAACCATAATTTGTTCGTGATAATGATATGATCACAGACTAGATTTTCTTTATTTTTGATTTTGATTCAAGCAACAAAGACGAAAAAATAAGAAAAGAAAACATGCGATTTCTATTTTGTCACTGTAAGCATCACACAAAAGTGAAGGTTATTTTTAGATGTGAAAGAATAAAAAAACATTGATTTCGAAAGACTTAAAATATTTTGATTTGATGAGAGAAATTTAATTTTAAAAAGATCAGATCGAAAAAAAGGCCGAACGATTAGTGAATTATTAAAAATACATCATAATGATGATGATACGAATTGTTTACAAATGCAAATCAACACTCATTTTGACCAGATTAATGAGTTTTATTTCCTTTCATATATCGTTCATAGGCAATCAATCAAACAAACAAAAAAAAATCTGATGTCTGTGGTTGCTTCGTTTTCTGATTGCTTCCATATATACCAAATACAGAGGCACAAATTGACAAATTGAAAGGCCTCTTGTTTCTATTATATCACATTATTATCATCATCATTATCATTAAACCGGCTACTGTGTAAAGTTGTTAGAAAAAATCCATGCTTGCGGTTTGATACAAAACAAAGGTAATCCTCACTAAATAATTATTTTGACATTGATTTATCTCATTGTTACTCAAGAATTTTTATTATAAAATCAATACAAAGAATAACTATTTCAAGAGTAAGTTATGAGTAACCAAAACAGAATCCTAAACTTTTTTTTTCTGCATTCATTCAAATAACATTGAAAACATCTGGGTACACGCATTTAGAATTCCTGGAAAAATTTCCCATTCAAAATCAAATTCGAATGCAAAATGGACGAAAAACTTTTTTTTTAATTAAGTTTCGAAAAAATTTAAAACTTTCAAACGAAAAAAATAAATTGGCGCTTAAATTTAATTTTAATTAATTTTCTCAAAATATTTACAATGATGATGATTTGACAAAATTCTTTTCCAACAAATCACGTAATTGTCGCCTCAATTCTTGATGACGTAATATTTCTAATTTATCAATTATTTGTCGCATTTTATCACATTCATTACCAGCCATATAACCATCAATATTATGTAGATTATCAGCTAAACGATGATCAGTAATACGATTTTGTGGAAAATTATATGTTCGTATTTTATCACTACGTGCGGCAATTCCAATCTGCAGCCGTTTTTGTTGTCGAGCTTCACGTTCTAAACGTTCATATTCAATTTGATTCAATAATGTTTTCATTTTATGTAAGGCTAATTCTTTGTTTTGATATTGAAATCGTGTCTCTTGTGATTCAACCGTATGACCAGTTGGTAAATGAGTAATACGAACACAGGTTAGATTTCGATTAACATTTTGACCACCAGGTCCGGATGAATTTTTCACTTCAATCTTTAGATCGGATTCTTTTACAGTGACTAGATTATGACGTACAGGTATGACAGCTATCGATACGGTCGATGTATGTATTCGGCCATATTTCTCGGTTCTTGGTACTCGTTGCACTCGATGTACACCTGCTTCATGTCTTAATAAAGGATAACAACCATTGCCATTGATTTCGATTGTTTGAGTAAACAACGAACTACTATCATCCAATTCGATTTGTTCAAAATCTTCATTCATTCGTATTTGCCAACCATTGAATGTGATGAATTTCAAATATAAATTATATAATTCTTGAGCAAATAGACTGGCTTCTTTACCACCGACACCGGCACGTATTTCGAATGAACATTCATTGATATCTCGATCATCTACACATGCTTGATCCAGAATCTGATCCTGAATTTGAATTAATCGTTCAATCAACGATAATGATTCGTTTTTAGCCAAAGCAATAAATCCATCATCATTATCATCAGTAACGTTTTTACCATCATCGGATATTATTAAATCATTAATTTCAAGAAATTCATCTAATGTACGTTGATAATAAAATTTAAGTTCATCGGAAATCGATTTGTTGAAATTATTTTCAATCAAAAATTGATTAAAATATCGATAAAAAGAAGGTTGTTTGTAGAATGATTTTTGAATTAATTTTTCAATTTCATTCGAATTTTTTTCGACTGATTGTGTTTGTATTTTTCTTCGACTATTTATTGTCCACAATCCGAATCGATTAGGTTTAGCTATCCGGGTGAAAACATTACGAGAAAATAGAAAAACATTGATGGACATTTTTATTTTCATTGAATATTTATTATTTATTTATTTTCCCATAAAGGTTGAAAAATGCAAGAGAAAGTTTTCGAGAAAGAAAAACAATACTGAAAAAAAGAAAACTTTTTTGGAAAAAATTGAAATTTGAAAATTAAATTATCACCAAAAAAAAAACGATATTGTTTACGGTTGGGATAAATTCGATAAATTTTCATTCCAAATTGGGTGTTTAATTTTTTTTCTTTTGAAATAATTATGGAACAAAGTCAAGATAGTTTTTCGGGTAAACATCAACAAATCGACAATGATGATAACGGAAGCAAAACAAAACAAACGGTAAAAAGTGTGGATGAAAAATCAATTGTCGGACGAGATGAATCCTGTGTAAAGGCAAGAATTAAACGTTATCGTTCATTATCGAATCGAAATAGTACAACAACAGTTGCAAGCAATGATAGTAATCAGGTAATTGAATATGTATCGGATAAGCTAAAAATACCAAAAGATCCAGAAACATCATGTTCAATGAAAATGAAAAAACAAGCTGAACTAATCAAACGATTACTTGAACAGCATAAAATTCAGATTAGCAAACAACAACAACCACAAAGTTCAGAACAAAATCAACAAGAAGAATTAAGTGAATCGGATAAAGATAGAATTATTGGTGAAGTGACAGAAAATTTTGATGAATCAATGCAGTATATTGAACAAAAAATTCGTGAAATTCGAAAAAGTTAATTTAATTTTAAAAAATTGAAAATTAAATTATTAAACAAAAATTTTGAAAAAATATATATAAAATGTATTTTTTTTTGTCTTAAAACTTTAAAAACAAATAATAGCAGAAAAAAAACTGAATGCAAACATCATCATTTCGGCGATAAATAATGAAAAAATATAGCAAACAAATAATATTACGATGGTCAATGTATGTGATTGGTTTGATAACGATAGCATCAGCAATTGCTTGTTATGCTATCGATTGTAATGATTTTTCTGATGTACTTCAACATGATTTAATGGCAAGTGGAACACAACATTTTTTAAATATTATGTTGGGTATTTATATGATTTCTACAACCATACCATTAATGATACATTATACACAACCACGATTAATTTATATTGGTATTTTTTTCAATTTATCCATACTGTTTCTAATAATACGTTGGTCATTTGGTCTTCGATTTCATCCAGAATTTATGTTGGGAATATTTTTAAATATACCATTATCTGGTTTTTATTTTTCATTTATTTATAGTAAAACACCAAAACCAAAAAAATCATTAGCAAAACTTATAATACATGTAATGATACAGGATGAAATTGAAATATTTTCAACAACAACAACATCAAAAAAATCATCATCAATCAGTATTGAAAAATCACAATCAAAACGAAAATCAAGTTTAACAGCGACCGGATCGAAACAAAAATCAAGTTTAACAGCAACCGGATCAAAACAAAAACAAGAATCCGATAATGCCGGTTAAACACTGATGGAATTATAGTTTGATAAAATGAGTGAATAAATAATTTTAATTTAAAAAAAAATTATAAACAGAATAAATAAATAAATAGTTTTTTTGTTCGTTGATCATTTCATGTCAAAAATCAATCAATCACAAATGATAGAGTGGTTTGATGATAAGACAACAAACATTTCCATTGATATTTGATTATAGCAGCAAATGAAAATCAAAATAGAGTCATTATTCGTCGAGTGCTATGATATACACGATATTTGAATCGAAAGAAAACTTTTAAAGTATTTTTTTTCTGGGTAAAAATTATTTTGATCATCATCATATCAATTATGTTAGTTTATTATCCAATACGATTCGAAAAACAAACATCAACATTAGTTGGTGTACGTAATCAACAAACAAATCATTATGAATTTGGTATATTTTTCTGTGATGAATCCAAACCAATTAATTTAGATATATCGAATTTAAATTCGGTAAAAATTCAATGTCGTGATTCGAATCATTTGAAAATTATTTATTCAAATGAAAAAAATCATTCGAAACGAAAACCTGTTCGAATCGAATTTCTTTGTTCAAATGATCGTAAAGATTTTATTGAAAATTTAATGGATGCACGAATGATCGAATCAAATGAACCAACATCAATAACTTGTTGTCTTTTTCCTTGTATTGCTTATTATCAACGAAATTATAAATTTGTTCGAAGACGGAATCCTATACATAATCATCATCATAATCGAATAATCAGGCAAATTATTTAAATTTCTTCCCATCAAAAGAAAAAAAAATTTATTTAATAAAATGAAAATTTTTTTAATTATTTGTTTTCAGATGTTAATATAAGCAGTTTGTCCGTCAAGCATTGAAATCAATTGTTCACCATTTAAATCTTTACATTTCATTTCATTTTTAAAAGATGAATCCGAATAAATAGTTTTTACATCTGATGAATGCAAATTTAATGAAATGGCCACCTAAATAAAAGAGAGACAAAAAAAAAGTTTATTCAATATGTCGATTGTCAAATTGTTTTACCATTTCTTTCAGTTGATTCCAATCCCTGATTGATACCATTTCATGTGGTTCTTTCAACGAATAAGTTTGTAAAATTATCATTGAATTCATTGTTTTACCATTACCGGATTTAGCTTGAATTTTAAGATATTTATCATTCGGTTTATTTTGTTCAGAATCGATTGTCCAACCTAAATTTTTCAATCAAATTTAAATTGTTTTAAAAAAAATCAATTAACAGAATAAATTACCATATGATGATGATAAATCAGTTAATGGTTCACCCGAAGGATTTTCCAACAATATGGTTCGTTGAATAATGTTTCCATTATTGGTTTTCAATCGAACATTTCGAAATGATGATGCAGTATTTTGATTCTCACCAACATTCGATAATGATTCAATAAATAGATCAATTTTTTCACCTTTAATATCATTGGTTGATTGAATAAGAAAATTGATTTTTTCTGTTTGCAATTCAATAAATTCTGCCTTCAATGCATTTTCAATGTAATCACGAAATTCTTTACAAATACGATCCAATTCAACAGTGTTGCCTGTTGTTGTTGTTGTTGCAGGATAATTTCGATAATAAACACGAATCGGATCTGATGGTACTAATTTTGCTTCTTTGCGTAGTTTTTGAACTCTGTTGATAATTTCTCGTGCAGTACCTTCATCTTTCATTGCTGAATCGGCACAAACATTCAACAATACAAGTATACCATTCTGACAATCAGCTTCATATTTATCGGCTAAATTTCTATCCAAACCTGTTTCGGCTAATGTATAAGTTAGTTTCATATCCCCCGGTTCTAAACGATAACCTTCAACTTCGAAATCGTTTGGATTGGTTTCAAATTGAATCAATCGTTCTTGACTCATATTACGTATAGCCTGGATAACTTTTTTCGATTCATTACGTAATCGAAGACCTAATGCTTTTGTATCCGGTTCAGCACGTAAATGAACACCATATTCTTCTTTGTTCATACTAAGTTTAAGATCACGAACATTAAGTTCATCCAATATAAATGAACGAAGTGAATCAATATCTTCGATTGTTTCCGATGAATTAGTAATGATTACCACTTCAGGTAATGGATATTTTAACGGCATATTACGACGATCACGAAGTATACGTCCTAAATCGATCACAGTTTGCATATAAGATACTTGCCGTTCAACATTAATATCGATCAATTCTTCACGAACCGATGAATGTAACATATAATGAATAGATTCAATTCGAGTTGTTTGAAATTGATTCGAATCGGATTTTTGATCATCATCGATAATAACTTTACGTAAATTTTGATACATATATTCAGTGATGAAAGGTGTAAACGATGCCATCATTTCGATCATCGTTAATAAAACTGAAAACAATGTATCCAATGCACGACGTGTATCTTGTTCACCAAATTCACCTTTCAATCGTTTACGATTCATTCGAACATACCAATTAGTTAAGTCATCAACAAAACGTACTAATCTTGGTACAACAGTATATAGCCGATAAGCTTTCATTTCAATTTTGACAAATTTAAATAAACTTTGTGTAAATGATAAAATCCATCGATCCATAATATTATCCGAACGAATCATCGATCGTGTATCAAAATAAAATTGTTGCCCTGGATTATTTTGTTCATAGATTTCAATATTTTGTACGAGAAATCGATATGCATTAAACCATGGAATGAAGGCATCTTTGAGAAGATCACGAACACCTTCTTCACGGAAACGAAGACTTTCGGCACGAACAGCCGGAGAATTTATCAAATATAATCGAAGAGCATCGGCACCATATTTTTTTACAATTTCCATTGGATCCGGATAATTTTTCTTTCGTTTACTCATTTTTTGGCCATCTGAAGCCAAAATCAATCCATTTGCAATTAGATTTTTAAACGGTGGTTTACCAAAAAGCAGTGTTGAAATGACTAACAATGTATAGAACCAGCCTCTAGTTTGATCGACACCTTCGGCAATAAAATTGGCCGGAAAATTTTCCTCAAACATTTTCTTATTTTCGAATGGATAATGTGATTGTGCGTATGGCATCGAACCGGATTCAAACCAGCAATCAAAAACTTCCGAAACACGTTTCAATGGTGGATGGCCAGGTCGTTTCGATGGTATTGTAATCGGATCGACATTTTCACGATGCAAATCATTCACTCGAATTCCGCTTAATTGTTCTAATTCTTGAATAGATCCAATGCAAACAACTTCTTCCAAATCATCGCTTACCCATAATGGAATCGGTGTACCCCAATATCGATTTCTTGATATAGCCCAATCACGTGCATCACGTAACCAATTACCGAAACGTTTTTCTTTGATAAAATCCGGTACCCAATATGTTTGTTTATTTGTTTCGACCAATTTTTGTGAAAATTCTTCCACACGAACAAACCAAGATGGTACAGCACGATAAATCAATGGGGTATCTGAACGCCAACAAAATGGATATGAATGTTTTACTGTACTATCACGAATAAGACGATTTCTTGATCGAAGATTTTTAATTATTTCTTTGTCAGCATCTTTGACATACATGCCAACAAAATCTGTAACTGGTTGAACAAAACGACAGCTTGAATCTAATGGACAGATTATACGGCCACCTTTAGTAATGATACCGATTTTCATTGCTACACGATGATCATCTTCACCAAAAAATGGAGCACAATGTACGATACCGGTACCACTTTCGGCCGTAACATATGAATCGGTAGCCACAATAAATGCATTAATTGATTGACCATATTCTTTAAAATAATCGAAAATCGGTTCATAATGCAATCCTTCCAATTGTTTACCAAGAAATTTATCCAAAATTTCACATTCATCTTTTGGTTTTTTATAAAGAATGTCCAATCGTGATTCAAGCAGAATGAACAAACGATCCGTTTTGAAATCTTTGATTTTTACATATTCCAGATTAGGATTAACACATAATAACATATTACTGGGTAATGTCCATGGTGTTGTTGTCCATGCTAATAACGATACTTGTGGATCATTGATCAATGGAAATGATACAACAACAGCCGGATCGATAACATCTTTATAATTTTGACCGGATTCGAAATTCGATAACGGTGTAGAACAAGCACTTGAATATGGCATTACTTTGACACCATTGTACACTAAACCTTTGTTGAATAATTGTTTAAAAACCCACCAAACTGATTCCATAAATTCGGGATACATTGTTTTATAATCATTTTCGAAATCAATCCATCGACCAAGTCGTGTGATAATTTTTTCCCAAGCATCAGCATAACGCATAATAATTTTACGACATTCATCGTTATAAGTTTTGATGCCAATTTTCATTACATCATCTGGACCTTTAATATTCAAAGATTTATCAATTTCATATTCAATCGGTAGACCATGTGTATCCCAACCAAATCTTCGTTCAACATGATAACCGGACATATGTGCCCATCTTAAAACAATATCTTTAATGGTGCCGGCTAAAATATGGCCATAATGTGGCAGGCCAGTAGCAAATGGTGGACCATCATAAAAAACATATGCCGGTCGATTTGCAGCAGCCGATTGTTTGATCGATGTTCGAAATGCATCAACATCGTTCCAGAATTTAAACACTTTTTCTTCGGCTTCAAAAAAATTCACCGAATCTGGTATCGAATCAAGCATTTCTACCGGTTCCGGTTACTTGGCTGAAACGTACACAACAATTTCACAATTTTTTTATTAATATTATTTCGACACGAAAAAAAACACGCTGATGCAATCGCATGGGAAATGTGTAAAAGCAACTCAACCAAATGCAACAATAGAATTGTACGCGTGTTGCAAAAAAAAAATACAAGGATTATTCATACAATGAAAGTTATTCAATTTTATCATTTTTCGAAGAAGAAAAAAAAACAAATTAATCTGAATCATCATCATTATTATATAATGACCAAATTGAAATTAATCCATCTTGTGTGGAAGCAAATAGAAGATATTTTTTTCGAAAATCATCATTGATAAGATTAGAAGTAAATCGAAGTGTTTCGATTGATTCATGATGATATGTTATCACAGCTAATGGTCGTCCAATTTTTGTAGAAAATAATCGAATTCTTCCATCTTTTGATCCGATAGCAAAAATTTTACCATCCGGTCGAATAGTACAGCATGTTATACTTTCGCTATTGATTGAAAATTTTTTGATTTTTGAATGATCAATTTTTCGATCATCTAATGAACATTTCCATAAAACAATTTCATTTGGTGCACAACAAGCTATACCACGTTTAATACAATCATTATAATCCATATGAAGTATTTCACCTTTATGTAATTGAATTGATGATAATGATTGTGAATAAATGATCGGTTTATTTGAATCCAGATAACTTTTGTTGATTGATAGAAATCCATTTTCATATGCAATGAAATTGTAGAGAAATCTATTCGTATCAAAAAATAAATGACTGGCCATTACGATTCCATGATCGTTCTCTTCGGTAATAATTTTAATGGCCGGTTCAGTAGTAGGTTGGTCCAAATCAATCAGATTTATCTGTTTAGAATTGTCGGGATCTAGATATGTTAGGAATCGATTTTCTAATATGAAGATCATTTTGGCGAATGTAAGTTTCAATGTAGGCCAATGATTTATTAGATGAAAATTTTCCAAATCATCAAAATCACATTTGAATAGGCAAAGATTTCCACTGGCCAATTCGGCCACTAAAATTTGTCGACAATGAATATAGATCATTGATCTTAATCGTAATAATTCGATATTTTTATCCTTAATATAATCATCCAAATTTATTCGTCGCAAACATCGATATGTAGAAAGTGACCATGTTGAAATCAGACCAATCTGATAGCCACAGATTACGATATCTTCATCATTGTTAGATTTATAAAAATCAATAGCTATTACATGAAATTTTTCTTTGAAATCACCAAAAACATGAATTGGTCGAGGTAAATTAGCCATTTGGAAAAAGTAAAATTCCACCATTAATCAACAATAAGAATTCGATTATAGAATTTTTTTTTGGGAACATTGTTTATGAACAGAGCTTTTTTGTGTCGAAAACAGCAAATCATCGTCAATATTGAAGCAACTTCGTGATTGTTTTTATGTGTTTTTGATCTTTATATTCTTGATCATTTTTTTTCCACGAAACAAATCAAAATCAAACTAAAAATGGATAAAAAATCTGCTACACCAGCTTTAAACGATACAATTGCATTGTCGAAAATGTTAAAAAGTGAATGGGAACATTCGAATCATAATCTGGAAAAAATTGAAAAACATTTATCACAATTAAAATTACATCTAACTAAGCTTCAATTTTTGCCAATCGAATTGGGTGAACAAATTTCCAAACAAGAATTGATTGTAGCAAGAGATGTACTCGAAATCGGTGCATTCTTTTCAATCGAAACAAAAAATATCCCAGCATTTGAACGTTATATGGCTCAGCTTAAATGCTATTATTTTGATTACAGGTATGATTATGACAATTTATTTTTAAAAAATTTCTTGTTAAACTAATGATTCCTTTTTTTTTGTTTAACAGCTCGGATCTAACTGAATCAACATTCAAATATCAATTGCTTGGACTGAATTTACTTTGTCTTCTTTCACAGAATCGTGTATCAGAATTTCATACTGTAAGTATCAATCTGCCAATTGTGATTGATCAATCTGATCATTCTTTTTTTTATATTGAAAACAGGAATTGGAACTATTGCCAATGAAAGAGATACAAAATAATGTTTATATTCGTCATCCGGTTTCATTGGAACAATATCTGATGGAAGGAAGCTATAATAAAATTTTTCTATCCAAAGGAAATGTACCATCCAAGTATTATACATTTTTTATTGATATTCTATTGGATACGATTCGTGAAGATATTGCCCGTTGTATTGAATTGGCATATGATCAGATTAGTGAATCGGAAGCATTGCGTTTATTGTTTTTCGATGCCAAAGACAAAACTGGATTAGTACAATATGCTCAACGTCGTCGTTGGACATTGAATGATAAACATGCATATACATTTGGTCATGGTAAAAATCGTAACGATGGTTCGGTTATCAAAATTCCAGCGCAGAAAATTGCCCTACAAATGTTGGAATATGCTCGCGAATTAGAAATGATTGTCTAAATGTCTATTTGAATTTGAATACAAATCTTTTAATAATAATGATTAAAATGAAAAAAATACAAAATTTTCTTATACAGGTTTATAATCAAGTTTAGTTTCCAATTTCTTATTATCGGCAATCTTACGAACTGCTTTCATAAAATCTTCTTCAATACAATAATCACGTTCCTTTCGAATGGCAAACAAACCGGCTTCGGTACATACATTACGAAGATCGGCACCATTGAAACCATCGCTAAGTTTAATGACAGCTTCCCAATCAATATCACCTTGTTTGGCAATTTTTAACGAATGAATTTTCAATATTTCTAAACGACCTTGTTCATTGGGTAAAGAGATTTCAATTTTTCGATCAAGTCGACCTGGTCGTAATAAAGCTGGATCAAGTGTATCCGGACGATTAGTGGCCATTATTATTTTAACTTTTCCTAATGCATCAAAGCCATCCATTTGATTTAATAATTCCATCAAAGTTCGTTGAATTTCACGATCAGCCGATGTACCTTCACTAAAACGACGGCCACCAATAGCATCGATTTCATCCATAAAAATTACACATGGTTGATGATCACGAGCATAATTGAACATTTCACGAATTAAACGGGCAGATTCACCGATATATTTGTCTACGATGGCTGATGATACAACTTTTAAGAAATTAGCTTCCAATTGTGATGCAACAGCTCGTGCCAATAAAGTTTTCCCTGTTCCAGGTGGTCCGTATAGAAGACAACCTTTTGGTGGTGTAATACCGATTCGTTGAAACAATTCTGGATTCATTAAAGGCAATTCAATAACTTCGCGTAATTCACGAATCTGTTCAGCTAAACCACCAATCGAACCATAGGTAACATCGCCGGGATCTTCATGCGACATATTGTAAACCAATGGATCGACTTCGCGAGGTAACCAACGAAGAATAGTCAATGTTGTTATATCCAAAGCAACACGAGTGCCAGGTTTTAATCGTGCTTTATCCAATTGTCGTCGACAACCGACAACATAACGTGGACCATTTGTTGCTTTCACAATAACTGATCGAAAAAAGTTAATTGATGGAAAAATTAATTCAACAACAAGAAACTTACAATTATCCTCGGTTAGCTGCTTCAATACTTCGCCAACTATTTGTCCGACCGATTGCAAAGCTTTCAAATCATTTTCACTTTTCTCATATTGTTTATTCGATTCTTTTAGCTGATCACGAACTTTTGGCAAAAATAAAAAATCCGATTTATTGATCGATTATCAATTGTATTATTGACTTACCATCTTTTAATCGTACTTCAATCTGTCGATGTTCATTGATTTTCTTTCGATAATCTTGTATAGCACGTTCTCTTGAAACTTCGGCAGCCATTTTTTAGTAATTTGATGAATTTGATTGAAAATATTTATTTAAAAAAATATTAAAATGTCAATACAATTTTTCGAATGAATGAATGAAAAAAAACTGTTTTAACACAAATGATTTAGCAAAAAATAACAATTGAAGTAAATGTAGCCACAAGGGTCAAAATAGATTTTAGTTCAAATTGATGAAAATAGATGACACCATATGACCATGATTCATGGTTCAGTGAGGTTAGGTTGATGACTATGACAATGACTTATAGTTCAGTTAGGTTAGGTTAGGTTGATGACTATGGCTAAGACTTATAGTTCAGTGAGGTTAGGTTGATGACTATGACTATGACCATGATTCATGGTTCAGTGAGGTTAGGTTAATGACTATAATTATGATTTATGCGCATACGCTTGTGTTCAAAGCCAAATTTAAGGGGACAATTTTTAAGCAAAAAAACATCTTTTAACACATTTTTTTCTGTTTTTGATTCGTTTGTTTTTATATTTATAGATATTATGATCATAATGAATACAAGCAATGTTTTCGGATATAATTTACAATAAAATAATGAGTATCAGTCAATTAAAAATTTCAATTAATCACGTCTGGCATCACGAATCCGTTGAATATAAGCTTGACCTTTGTTACGTCGAAATGATTCAAATGGATCAAACATTTTGCCCGATGTATTTTGACTACTGCTACTACTAGTAGTATCGCCAAATCCTCGATATTGTTCCGATTGTTGTATGACGGGTGAAGAAATAACCTTAGGTTCTGAGGTGGAATCAATAGAATGATTAGAAAAAAAAATTCATCGGATTATCAAATAATTTGAATACTTGATTCTTTGATGGTAAATCCAGTGTTATTCGACCAGGTCATTTTCTTTGTTGATTTATCCGAATCTTTTTTGTGTGAATCATTGAATTTGGAATATTCGGGAGATTTACTCTTTGAAAAACGACTATGTTTAGGTGATGATTCACGTCGATGATTCTTTGATTTCGATGGACTTCTCGATCTTGATCTGGAACGTTTTTTTGAACGATGCTTGTCACTTGGTGATCGACTACGGTTTTTACTAAAGAAAAAGTTAAATAAAAGAAAACATTGAGAAGATGCATACCTTTTTTCTTCAGTGAATTCTTTGTATGATTTTTTTGGTGGTGAAGGTGATTTTTCTCTAAAAGATTTTTGTTGTTCATCATTATTATTATTGGCTGCCATATTGGATGTATCAGAATCGTTGATAAAAGGTTGATCATCATCATCATCATCATCATCACCATCTTTTTGTGTTGGTTCTTGGCCCAAAACATTGATTTCATATTCTTTTCGAGCTTGTGATTTGGCTTTGAAAAATTCATAAAGGCCAAGTTTTTCCCAACCTTCAGCATTTCTTGGATGTTCGTGAGTGGGAGGTGAATAAAATGCTTCCAATGCTTGAAGCAAACGTTCAGACGGAGGTTCCAGTGCTGGTAATTTTATTTCTTTTGGATCGATTGGATTATAATCAAAATCTTCCAATTTAATCACTGTTGTCATCAAACCAGCCGGTCTTTCGAAATAAGGTGCCGGTTCTGCATGTTCTGAGGAAGGAATATCCGGTAACATCTGAGTAGATGGAAGCATTGCCGATGCATACGGTGGCAATGGTGGATACATTTGAACATTGTTTGTTGGATAGAAATTTGGCTGATTTGGAAATGGTGCCGGAAAAGGTGGCATTGGCGAAGGGTTTGCCTGTACAAAATTATTTACAACCGATGATGGCCCAACAAATGGAATACTCGAAGGTGGTTGTAATGGTGGTGGTGGTGGCTGTGTTCCATTCGGCGTTGATATCATTGGAAGAACTGGTCGATGTGGATGTGGAACTCGTGGACCAAGTGGTGATAATTCATTAATCTGTCCAGATGGAAACGATGGTCGTAAAGGTGACATATTAGCCTGTAAAGTTTGTTTTTGTGATTGAAGCTGTTGAATTTGATTCTGACAATGAACGACAAAATCTGAATGTTGTTTTTCGATCTGTTTATATTTGTTCATTTGTTCCTGATTGATCATATCGATTTGTTCCGAATATTTTTCCCGTAAAGAGATCTATTAATTTTTTTAAAAAAATTATTTTCTGAACTAAAATATCAACTCATTATTTAGTTCTAACCTTATAGGCATCTAATGATTGTTCCGGTGTTTTCAGTTGCTATTTCAAAACGAAAATCAAAAAAGATTAAAAATTTGCCAATTTATCAATATTGCTTATTGTAAATGAAAACATCTCATGTTTTTTTTAAAAAAAAAAATATTTAATTTGTAATAATTTCTTACATCCAATAATGTTTGATCAATATATTGATTCTGTTCCCAAATTTTTAAAAGCTGTAAAAAAATTAAAAGTTAGAGAGAGATGAATATGCCATAGAATGAAACAACAATTACTTTGTTCATTTTTTGTTTTCGTTCATCGTTTGCTTCCATCAAAACTGTAGTGAATGCCGGTACAATTATATTGATGATGGCCATTTTTAGTTTATCATCATTTTTACGCATACTGTTGTGGATGAATGAAGAAAAAATGATTACAATAATACATTTGATTGATTCAATTATCGACATACCAATGATTGAATATATCATTTATCAAATACATTAAATGAAGTTTTCCTTCGAATTCTGAATCGGTCCTTGTTAATCTTTTTTTTGTTTGTTTTTACCAAATTGATTATTGAATATATATTTATTGAAGATCATAGATTCAATATCTACCTTTTTAAAAGATGTTTAGCTACAGCATCATATTGATCGGATGTGCTGCAATGATTAAAAATCCAAATCTTACCATTCTAGATTAGAATAACAAAACATTAGATTATTCATACGATTCGAATCGAGTTATTTGTAATACCGCAATTGATTCTTTACGACAACTTTCAATGATTGGTTGTAAAATTTTATCAAATTCATTAAGATTTATATTAAAATCTTCACACATTCGTTTTAGTTCATCATCCAATTGTTTGGTAATTATTTCGTTGATTCTTCTTTCCATTTCTACACCCATTATCACTTGTTTTTGAGCATTAAGATTTTTTTCCGATTCTTTTAGATGATCATTTATCTGTTGAATTTGTGAATCGATTCGATTCTGTGATTCAATATCAGCAATCGGTGATTGTATAATAGGATTTGTAGCTGGTGATGGTGGCTGCCAATTTGGCACCGTTTTCGGTGGCATTTGTTGAAATTGATGATGATGATTATGATGAAATGATTCTTCGGGCAAAAACGGTGGATGAAGTGATGATGGAGGTGGAAGATGAGGCCCTAATTGATGATGATGTGCGAGAGGATGAGGATGTGGAAGTTGATGTGGATGATGATGATGATGATGCGGTAATGGAGATTGTTGTTGTGGAACGAATTGATTATTACTGAATTGTGTTGGTGGAGCTTGTGATACCGATGGAAACGGTAAAGGTGGTGGCGGAGGCAAAGATGGATGACTTGGAAAAAAATTATTACCCATAGGACCACCACCACCACCAAGTATCGGCAGTGGAGGTAATGGCATCTTTGATTGTTGTTGTTGTTGTTGAAATACCTGCTGTTGTTCGGTTACAACACGAAATCGATAATAAGCATGATATTCACCACCGAATAAAAACATAAATTTAGGATTTCCTAATTGTTTATTTTTGGTCATCTGTTCAAAATCCGGACCATTACGAGCGACAAATTGAGCCAATTTATCGATTATGTTTCGAAGTTCTAAATCTTGACAAACAAACAAACAAACCGGATTTAATCGAACATTGAAAAGGAGAAAGAACTATAATCCAAAACTAACCTTCTGGTGGTTTAGGAATATCCATTATTTAATAATCATTCTAAAAAAAGTGAAATAAATAAAAAAATCTAAACAAAGATTTCTGAATCTTTTTCGGGGTTTGACGAGCAGCAGCCGCATGTATCCATGAATCCAAATCCAATGAATAGACACCAGATGGTAGTACTTGATAGCCGAAATGTTTTGATCATTTGTTTTCGAATCACATTTTTTTTGCATCAATAATCATATGAAAAATGGCCATCTATCATTATTCTATCTGATCATCGAATTGATTCAGATATTTGAACAAAGTTTATTAAAGAGAAAATGTTCAATGATACGATGCAATTCAAGACGGATAATCCGGTAAATGCAATGGCTGTTAGCCGTGATGGGCTACTTGCTGTTGCCGGAAGAAGTTTACTCAAAGTTTATAATCTTTGTGGTGATGAAAATGGATCATTATTTGGTCAAGAGCTATTCAATCTTCGTAGTTCGAATTTGAAAAATTTAAACTTTTCAAATAGCGATGTTACATGGTGTCCATTGGATAATGATATACTTGCTACAGCTGCAACGAATGGTGCTGTTGTTGTTTGGAATCTACAATGTTTAACTAAATCAAAAATAGGCGTTGTTTACAATGATCATAAACGTACAGTGAATAAAGTTTGTTTTCATAGTAATGATCCAAATCTATTGCTCAGTGGTTCACAAGATGGTTGTATGAAATTGTTTGATCTTCGTAAAAAAGAAGCTGTCACTACATTTGTTTCGAATTCTGAAAGTGTTCGTGATGTACAATTTTCACCACATTGGACATATCATTTTGCATCGGTACAGGAAACCGGTAATGTTGAAATATGGGATATTCGTAAACAAGATCGACCGGAATGTAATTTTATTGCTCATGATGGTCCAGTACTTTCATGTGAATGGCATCCAAATCAAGAAAATTATAAATGGCTAGCTACTGGTGGTCGTGATAAAATAATTAAAGTTTGGGATCTAAGTAATCGTAATCGACCACAATTGATTTATAATGTTCATACAATAACGCCTGTTTCGAAATTAAAATGGCGTCCAGAAAAAGATTTTCATATTGGTAGCTGTTCATTGGTTGTTGATTTTAGTGTTTATGTTTGGGATATAAAACGACCATATGTACCGTTTGCTATTTTTGGTACGAAAAAAGATGTTACCACCGGATTGGCATGGAAAAATGATCCATTTGTATTTATATCATCCTGTAAAGATGGTACTATTTATCAACATCGTTTCGAAACTGATGCATATTATCCGGCCGAACATTATCCACCGATCGGTATTGATTTTAATCCTTTTGGTGATATTGCTTTTTCTACTACTGATTTTATTTATCGTCATTCACAAACATTGTCGACAAATTCGAATCTTGGATCGAATCGTATGATAAAAACATTTGTTACAAATAATTCCTTTAATAATAATAATATTGTACAATCAAATTCAACGGCAAATCTAAATCATTCATCATTATCCAGTTCATTGACACAGGATAATACTGAACTATCGCACAATAATTCAACAATCATTAATGATGTTCGACCAACAACCCGGCATATTTCGATTGGTTCACCATCAAATCATGCTCAACAATATATATTGGCTAGTGGTGGTGGTGGTGGTCAACCAAAATATTTTCCATCATATCAACAACAAACGCAACAAATATCATCATTATCATCAACAACATCATCATATTCGACACCTGCCTATAATATAAGTGTACCGATATCATATAGAAAAACAAATGAAACAATATTGGCCGATCATTTTCGTTGTATGATTAGTTATATGATGTTGTTTGAAAGTCGTAAATTACCACAAATTTCTGCCTGTTTAACAGATGAAATTTCAATGAAAAATTTTATTCATTCAGCTAAAAAATATCTATTAATGGATAGAACATTTGAAGAATTATGTGAACATAATGCACAAGTTTCTGATTCATTGAATCGTTGTCAAATTGCACAAACATGGCGTATGATAAGACATATGTTTAGTATAGCCGGACGTCATCCAACATCCAGTGGTGGTGGTGGTGGCGGTGGTACTGGTGGTGGAATAACTGGTGGTGGAAATAATCCAAGTGGAAGTAGCTTACAAAATAGTATACAACCTATCAATGATAGTGGTGATTATAAAATGAAAAATGAAATTCCAAGTCGTCATGCTAGTGGTGGTGGTGGACCTACTCGTCATTTTAGTGGCAATAATAATAATAATATGAATAATAATCAATATTTTCAAAAAGAATCAAGAAATTCTGATGATGATGGTGATGATAATCGTCATCGTAATGATAATAATAATGATCAAATGGAATTATTTCAAAATCATTTTCCAACATTAAAACAAGATACAATGCCAAGTAATAAATTTGTTGTTGATTTTTTTGATTATCAACCAAATCAATTAGAAACAATGGATTCAATTGAACAACGTTCATCATTACATTATAATCATTATTATAATCATCATCATCATCATAATCATCGTAATGATGAAATAATTTATGATTATGAATCAAATTGTCAAGATTGGGAATTACAACGTGAATCAATATTTCATCGTCATAATATTGCCGAATATGGTATACAAATGAATGAAATGAATAATACAAATAATGTTGTTGGTGGTGGTGGTGGTGGTGATAATTCATTATTAAATAATTATGAAATTAATTCATCAATCAGTTATGATGAAGATGATGAATTAGATTTTAATCTAAATGAATCACCGGGATTTTCAAATGCAAATCTACAATCATTATTATCATCAAAAAATCCAGCACCACCAGTATGGCCTATTTATGAATCGGTTGTACAAATGTTAAGATTTTATGTAGATAAATCGGATGTTCAAACAGCATGTTCAATTATTCTGGTATTAGGTGATCGTATGAAACAAATTGGTTCGATTGATAAACAAACCATACAGATTTGGTTTCGTTCATATATTGATCTTTTACATAGATTTCAATTATGGAATATATCAACACGTTTAATACAACAATGTAATGATCCTGATATACAAAGCATTAATCAATCATTAACATCGGTTTTAGTTTATTGTGCATTATGTCGAAAAGCTATTCATCATGGTTCAGTTTTATGTGAAAAATGTCGTCAACAACCAAGTACCTGTAGTATATGTCATGTATCTGTACGTGGACTTTATGTTTGGTGTCAAGGTTGTGCACATGGTGGTCATCTTAAACATATGCTTGAATGGTTTCGTACAAATCTTTTATGTCCGGCTGGTTGTGGTCATCATTGTGAAATGTGTTAATTTGTCTGTCTGTGTTTGTGTTTTTATCATTGTTTTATTCGTCTTCGTTCTTTCATCCTATAGGAAAAAAATTTTTTTTCAGCCACAAATCAAGTCAATTCAAATCATTATCAACATTTACCTTCGATTTTGAAACCAAACTTTAACCTGTCGTTCAGTTAAATTTAATTCAACAGCAATTTCATAACGTCGTAATCTTGTTAGATAACTTTGTCCGGCAAAATGTTGTTCAAGACCATCCAATTGATATCGATTGAAACAAGTTCTTTCTTTACGAAAATTAATATTTTCAATATTGTTGGATGATTCAATCATCATTTGATCATGGTTATTATTATCATTAAACATTGAATATTGTTGCTGATTTGTCACCATATTCTCATCACCATTATTAAACATCGAATCCATTTGAAATTGCAAACATTTTATCGTTTTGACCAACCAAGAATATGCTAATGATTATTGACGAAAATGATGCAAATTTATACAAAAAAAAAACAGATTTTGTCGGTCAGATGTTTCACACCCTATCAACAAGTGCCAAATGATTTTTACCACCAATGGTCATCAATCAAAACGTTCGAATTCGAATGTTTTCAAATGTCAAAAACATATGGTTGTAACAAAAAAAAATTATGATTTATTTTTTTCGCTCAATTTAAATTTTCAAAAAAAAATATTGTTTACAAATTGAAACCGAATCTGCCCTATTTGTTTAAAATTGCTCTATATTGTCGATTTTTAATCAATTGTGTTTGTAAACGCCAAAATAATATTGTAATTATTGAAAATACTGTTAATATAATCAATATTGGTATAATAATCTCTAATAATGTAATATTTGTATATGAACAATCTGTAACACGAATACCATTCAACATAATTGATGATTTTGAACCAAAATACATTTCATGTAATTGATCACCATCAACTAATGGAAATTCTGGATCATATGGTGATGTAACAGCTAAACTAACACGACAAACAACATTATAACGTGATGATGATGATGATACTGATTCATTTCTTGTATCGATTATAAGAACTTTTTTTTTTAAAATGAAAATAAAAATAAAAATAAAAATTATAAGTTTTTTTTTATAAAAAAAAATTATACAAATATTATTATACTTACCAGAATCGGTATCAATTAACATACTAATATTTGATTCATGTTCAACCAAATAATTATTCAAATGATAAACATATTCTTGTAAAAATTCTTTTCGGGTTGTTGTTCGCCAATTAATACAAAGTTGTTCAAAACAAAGCTGTGTTGATGCTAATTTTATTCGATTTGGTATATCATTATGATTAGATTTTTTCATTGTTTTATTTGCAACATCACCATATGCATCAAACATTTTTACATTAGATTTTAATGAATTATGTGTTACAATTAGAAGAAATGCTGAATCAGCATTGATCCAGAATTTCATTCCACCATTATTATTATTTGGGGTGACAATTTTTTCCGTAATAATTTGACATTTTGTACGTGACCAAAGGTTTAGTTTCATTCCGGGACAAATTAAAAGATAATCTTGTTTTTCAAAATCCAGATCCAAATAGAAAATTTCAAATTTAACACCAATTTTATATTCCGTTTCAGATTCTTCAACTTTTGGTATAATAAATTTATATACGGAATTTGGTTGATAATGATCGATTTGAATTTTATATCTTGAATTTTCATCAATTTTCGTTGGAATTTCTGTTGATTTGAATTCGATTATTTTATTTTCGGTTATTGAAAATTTAATCAATTGATGACCATTATCATTGAATATTATTTCACGTCGGCTATTTTGATCCAAATGCATTATCGTTTGATCATTATCATATGCTGTAAATTCTATTCGTATCTGGACACAATTAAATAGAAAAGAAGAAAAATACAAACATTTTCGATTACGTAATTACAACACAAACACAAACAAACATTCGATTACCTTATTCGAATCACTAATAAAAGTTTGATTTTCTAAACATTCACCATCATCATTGCCCATAAATGTACTTAGAATGTTACCGGAATTTGCATCAACAACAATCAGTTTATGATCACTGGATGATGCACAAAATTCTACAGTAGAAATAATAAAATCACTTGGCGATCCGGTTTGAATATGAAAATATCCAATAAATGACTGTAAACAGATTAAATTTTTTTTTCAAAATTTAGTTAATTCAATTTCAATTCACATTACGTTGTTCAACGATGTATCGAGTAAACAGATTCGATTGCTATCCAAAAATGATAATTTTCCATCGTCAAATACGGTTTCATTACAATTGTATTTGGCTAATTGTGCAACTGGTGGTTCGTCCAACAGATCGGTAATGTTACGATGATGATGATTATTCTGACCCGAACAATTTTCTATGAATAAAAACAAAACAATAACGACAATCATAATCAACAAACAATTTGGTTGAGCCATTTTTTTTCTATCTTTGAAAAAGAGATGCACACAAACATTACAAGTGTGAAAAAAAAGATTGCACAAAAATTTTTGATTAAAAATTTTTTAATAATTCCATCTTTATATCCTTGGCGACCGATCAATAAGATCAATTTCAAGGGGAAACAAAAAATCAATTTATCAATTTGCTTATAATCATGACAACATTGATATTTGTGTGTGTGTGTGTAATTTAGTTTTTTGGTTTGTTGTTGTTGTTGGAAATAATTGTTTTCGAAATATCCAATCGACAACAATCACAAAAACGAATCAAATACAAAAGAACATCGGCCAATTCATCGGCCAATGCTATTCGTTGTTGTTCGGTCCATTTTGGTAAACCATCATCATTACAATCGTTATCCGAATTCCATTGAAATGTTTCGGCAATTTCACCCAATTCACCGATCAATGCAATCAAAATATTACGTGGTTGATGAAATTGTTCCCAATTACGTTCAACAACAAAATCATTAAGAATTTGACGAATCTTTTCCAATGTAAGTGATGAAAAATGAAATTTTTTATTACAATTTGAAACAATTGATTTATCCATCATCATCATCATCATCATTCTAATTCATTTGGACAAAACACAACATAATTTTTTAATCAGATTTTTTTTTCTGTTACATGTGAAATTTTCTTATCCTAATCATAAAGTATATGACACTTGATGATTGATTGATCAATGATCTATCAATCAAAAAAGAAAGAAGAAAATTTATCAATTCCAAGCGATGATTTTATTGGCCACAGCACGATAAAAACAAATGTATGAATAATTTTGTAGCCAATGTTCTATCCAATCAATACTTGAATCGTTTGAAATTTGATCATCATCAAACAATAACCATGAATTATAATATGGACGAAATAATGTAAAATAATGACCGGTAGTTTCTGTACCACGATGTAATATACATGAATAAATGTCATATTTTTTTCCACAAATTTCCAATGTTTGATTAATAATTACTTTACGATTGATTTTTGATCCAGTATGAGTGAATCGTTTTAAATGTACAATAAGATAATGTGGTGCACGACATATTGTCAAACGTTTTCTTGATGGTTGTCGTCGTTGACAATTTTCACAAAATGCCGCATCAGTTAATGTCTATTTTGACAACAAGATTTATGAATGGTATCATTAGTAATTCATGATTACTATACTTACCTCCCAGGCCATATATTCTTGAATACATTGTTCAATGCTTAATGATGATTGTTGTGGTTGTTTATGATCATCATCATTATTATCATTATCATTTTTAAGATGAAGATTTAGCTGCCAAAAACTACTCCATGAAACACTTGAATGTTGACATATTGAACATTCTAATGATGATTCTGCTTGACCAACAAATAGCCTTGAATAAAAACTATTATCAACATGATTTAGATGATATTGCCATGCTTCTTTAGCATTTTTTGGTTCAAAATTTTGTTTTGTTGTTTCATTTTTCTGAATTTTATTATCTTCTTGATGAATACATTCAAGTAGAATTGTAAGAAATTCTTGTGCATCATGTTGTTCATTACGTACAAATTGTGGTTTGATCGAACGAAATTCACGAATAAATTCATCCGGTTTAATCACATCATATCTATTGGTTGTTGGCAATGCTTTTTGGCCTTTTTGATTCATCTGATGAAACAATCTTGATAATGACAACTGTATTCGTCCTGTTGTTGGACTAGTGGATGAAGATTGAATACTGAGAAGATATTGTCGTAATTTATTTGATCCATATAAAGCTTGTAATGTAGAATTAACATAACAAGTATTGCCAAGATTTTTTAATCCAACAAATCTTGGCTCATCATAAAAAGCATTTGGATTCGAAACGGATATAATGGTTGTTGCTGTTGGTCCTTCACTACTATCAACTTCTTCATCTTCATTAAGAATTTGTTTTTGATTATTATCAACATCATGATAATGATCAATAACAATAACATTGGAGCTATTACCACCACCACCACCACCACCATCATCATTATGATGTTCTGATTTTGAATTTCGTTGTTGTTGTTGTTGTTGATCATCATCATATCTTGTCTTAAATTGATTATTTTGATTAATATTGGCAACATTTACACATGAATTTCCTTCACATTCGTTGGTTGTTATTTCTTGTTCAAATACCATTTTATTTTGTTTTCGTCCACACAAACGATTACGAACATAAGTTGTTTTTGAAATTCGACGATTAAATAATGACGAATTTTTTTTTTTTTTTTTTTTTTTTTTTTTAAATTTTTTTTTAAAACAGAAAAAAAACCCCAAACCCTGGGGAAAAGG